GCCTGCTTCCTCCGGGGCAACGCCGAGATGATCTTCATGTCCCTCTACTCCCTCCTCTACATGTCCAGCCTGCTGCCGGCCAAGATGTTCGCCATCGCCACCATCACCAAGTCCGGCTGGGGCACCTCCGGCCGCAAGACCATCGTGGTCAACTTCATCGGCCTCATCCCCGTCTCTGTCTGGGTGGCCGTGCTGCTGGGCGGGCTGGCCTACACGGCCTACTGCCAGGACCTCTTCACGGACACGGAGCTGGCCTTCCTCATCGCGGGAGCCGGCTTGTACGCCTGCTACTGGGTGGCACTGCTGGCCCTCTACCTGGCGGTCGTGGCCCGGCGCTGCAGCAAGCCCCAGGAGGAGCAGCACAGCCTGGCCTTCATGGAGGTGTGAGAGGAGGAGGAGGGCTGGTCCTTCCTTCCTGAGACTAGGGATCAGGGTGGTGCCAGTGGAAGTCAGACGTGCAGAAGGCAGGCCTCAGCCTCTTTGCCCACGTCAGGCAGCTGGCTGGCCACTGTGTGAAATGGGATGCCGGACCTGATGGACCACCAGTCTGATCCAGCTGGGCTCTTCTTCGCTGCTATTGCAGAACCTCATGGATTAGGTCTCTCTGGCCTTGCTCCAGAAAAAGGGAATATAGAAACTACACAGGGTTCCAGCTGCAGTTATCATTCTATGCAAGCACCATTACCCTCAGTACAACACTAACCCCACCAGGGCAAGATGGGGCTGCCTCGGGTGTGAGACGGGGGCCTCCCATCCTCTCCTAGCACAGTAACTTCCTTCTGTACCTCTCTGCCCAGGCCAGTGCCATCTCAGGGATCTGCTCTCCCTTGAGGGGGCTCTGAGCAATACAGGGGGCTGCCTCTGCTCGCACGACAGGACTCGAGCTGCAGGAGGAAGCCCGAGGGGCAGGGCGAAGCCCGTGTACCTTCTGGGGTGGCCTGGGCGCTGGAGGGAAGCTTGCCAAGAGCAGCTGGGGGCACGGAATGGCTCTTTCCCCAGAGCAGGGATCTTCTGGTGTTTCCCCATCCCCAGTGCAGAGAAAGGACTTGGAAACTGAATGCAGAATGGCCTGGTGGAATCTTTCGTAGGGCTGCTGGTGCGATGTGTGAGTTTGATTAACCAAGTGGCTGCACTGGAGTGGCTGAAGAGTTTGGCGAGTGGGGCGCCCTGTTGCTCCCTGGCCGCACATCCGGTTTTACTTGCCACCAAACAGCCCCTCCACTGAGTTGCTCCGGGTGCTGTTTTGTAATGTTTTTTTTGGGGGGGGGGGCGCAGGGCTGAAGCTTGCGCCGTCATGAGGAGAGGAGGCAGCGTGGCGTTCAGGCTTTTCCTGCCTCTGAGGATGGATTTAATGCCTGGGGGCAGGCGGGTGCTCTTTTCCAACTCTCTCTCTTTCACTCTCTGGGCCCCTGCCCAGCGTGGGGCTTTCTGGTGCTTCTCTGACAGACCGTCCCTCTGTGCAATTCTAGGTGGCTGCACTACTTGGGAGGAGGGCTGCAGCCACCCAATGTCGGTCCTCCACCAGGAGTCCTTTGCGATGCATTCCAGGGTCTCCTCTGGCAAGGTGGTGCATTTGTTGTGAGGAGGCGGTATGGGTGCTAACGGGCACCAAGCCTCGCTTCTGGGGCTACAGAAGTGGCTGCTGTACTGGAGGCATTTCCCCCATTCTTTGGCTTTCTGCTGACTGGGCTAGCATGCCGAGCCCCTTGTGCTGGCCAACCTAGTCTGCTTATTTCCCGTGGGGATGACAGGGCAGTAAAGGCTACACATCTTCTGCAGTGCCGGGTGTGCAGAATCTGGAATTCGGTGCAAAATTTGGATTCCTGGTAATCCCAGCCTTCAACTTTGACCGGGGGAGGGGGGGAGCAAGTCTCTAATCTTCCCATTCTCCTGCCCCCATGTTGAGAGAGTGCTAGAGAGGCATGATGTGGCTTCCCAGGGCCCTGCCGCTCTGTCTTGACATTCTCATTGCTCCTGGCAGAAACAGAATTTCAGAGTCAAAGACTGGGGGTTCCAGGCATGCAGATTTGGACATTCATGTTGACGTGATTTTATCGGTGTGCAAGGTTTAAGTTCTTAGTGCTGAATGTGCTCAGGATTTCTTAATGCTCCAGACTGAGGGCTTTTGTGCTTCCCAAGGGATGTAACCTACAGGTGTCCTGGAGTCCACTGCCTGTGTCCCGTGGCGTCTTGACTGGAGCTTCCCCACCTTTGTTTCCTTCCTTCTCTCCAGTCACTTTTGTGGATTGTGCTTCTGGAGAGAAACCCATGGGCTGGTCCTGTGCAATTTTAAAAGGGAGGGACATCACCAGTGGGGTGGGCCTCACAAATTTCTGTACTTCTGACCCCCCCTCCTCCATTTGTAATTGCCCTCCAATCTGGCAGGTCTGGGTTGGGAGCAGCTACCCCAGAGTGACAAAAGCTCTGCTGTGGGCTGCTTCAGACAGAGGGAGGTATTACTTCATTTTGCTACCCAACTCAGGAGGGTTGTAACATACACCTACAATTAGACACCCTTTGATCACACACACAGTTAGGCAACTTTCCTCCACAGCATTTTTATTGCTTAAAAAACAACACAGCAGCAACCAAATAACCTCAACCATTCCAGGAAATCAGCAGTTCTGCAGGTGGAATACATTGCGTACACCTGGTGGGTGGACTTGCATTTTTGCTTAAAATACGGAATTGGGAGGGAGGCTGTCGGAGAGGAAGGGAAGGACTGGAATTTGTTCAGAGTCAAACTGCCATCCTGGAGCTTTGAAAGAGGTCCCCCCCCCACACCTTCTCAGGTATTCCGCCAGTGGCACATGTGTTGGGGGGGGGGTCTGACATCCTGTACCTTCTTTTCCTGCCTCTTCTTGTGGGTCCAGCAAACTTAAGATTCTTTTAGTTCAAACCTGCTATTGACTTGACCACCACTTTCCCCCCTTCAGGCGAATGCTGTCATCACCACGTAAAAGAGAGCCAGTTTGGTGTAGCGGTTAAGTGCACGGACTCTAATCTGGGAGAACCAGGTTTGATTCCCCACTCCTCCGCTTGTACCTGGCTGGATGACCTTGGGCAAGCGGTAGTTCTGATAAGAGCTGTTCTTGAAAAAGAGCAGTTTCTGTCAGAGCTCTCTCAGTCCCACCTACCTCACAGGGTGTTTGTTGTGGGAAGGGAGTTTGTAAGCCATTCAGAGACACCTTTGGGTAGTGAAGGGCAAGGTATAAATCCAATCTCTTCTTCTTAAAACTTTTGAGCCTGTCCGCATCCTGAAATTTCTTGCCTTGTGACTCAGGAGGGGCCGCGGATAGGCCAGCCAGAAGGCAATCTGACCCTGCTGGACACCAGCCTGGTTTGAGCCAAGACAGGCTTTGCTGCCCCTACTGGCAGCTGCGAGTCAAGCCACAGCCAGCTCTACTGGCTCAGGATCCAGAGGCTTGTGCTCCCCGCAACCCTCATCGCTAGAAAGGGCAGAAATGACTCCAGGAAAGAAGGGTTCCCTCCAGAGGCTTGTGCTCCCCCCAACCCTCATTGCTAGGAAGGGCAGAAATGACTCCAGGAAAGAAGGGTCCCTCCACCTAAACACAGGCCAAAGCAATCCGGTCAGGCTTCTCCTACCTCGGAATGCCTGCACAAGCTGGAACGTTCAGATGTCCCCGTCCCCCCCAATATAACCCCTTAGTTAACAAGAGTGTGTTGATCGAGAGCTTACAGCTCAGGCCAGAAGTGCTCAATCCTTAGGCTGACAGGCAGGGGAAAATGGCTGGGTGCTCTGTACCCTGCAGCCATCTGGACTGATACCACTGGCTGTTTTGCAGGCAGGCTGCTGTCCCACCAGACTGAACGGTGTACATTCAAGCTGGTGCGTGTATGCATGTGCACACGCATGGCAAACCAGGTGCATTTGACAGCTCTTGCAGCCACAGCCCCCCCCCCCGCACTGTGACAAAAGGTGGGGGGATTCTCACCCACCTTCCCTTTTCCAGCTGCACTTCCTCCCCCCTTGCAAATGCCTGGAAATGCTGCTTCTGCTGCTGCTGCTTCCTCTGCGGCCTGTGCTGGTCCCAGGCGTGAGAAGGAGGTGGGGATGAAGCCCAGGGCCCAGCTGTGGCTCCATGCCGAAAAACTCCCTCTTTTTTTCTACATTGAGCCATTCAGGTTTCTCTTATTTAAGATAAGATTTGTAGAAATTTTTGTACTTTTCAGTAAGGACACTAAAATTGTTTGTAAACTTATTTATTTTTTACTTTTTCATATTTTTTGAAAATGTCAAGGCGTGTTTTTTTACTCTGAGTTTGTTACAATAAAAAAAATACCTTGTCAGGATGGCTGTGTGTTTGGGTCCTCTTCAGTATCTCCCCCACCCGAACCGGAAAGCAGCCAGGGCTGTCGGGAGGAGGGTGAAGAAGATTCCAGCAAGAGTTCTGGGGGGGGGGGGGGGGGGGAGGGCCTTGGCTGTCCTGCCAGCTAGTTCCCTTGCTGCGAAAGACAACACAAAGTGATGGACTCCAGGATCCTCCCGCATTCTTCACCGAAGGCACAGGACAGCAGGATAAAAAGGAGCTGTCTTGGCCCAGTCCGCTCTGGACTAACCAGAGCCGAGAGAATCCGTTCTCAAGCGGTTCTTTGGTATGCTTGAGAGTCTCAGTCCCTGCTTGGGGGCCACATGAGGCCTCTAGCTAAGGGAGACAGGGTTGTTCCTGCTTTGCCAGAGAGGCAGTCAGAACCAGGCTAACGGTCTGTGGGCCTCGCGCCTCTGTTCTCCCGCTGGGGCGTCCTGGCGGACGGGGGCCCGGGCAGCCTCCCCCTCAGGCCTTCTTGGGCAGGTTGGTGATGATGGGCTTCGGGCGGGTCTTGAAGAGCAGCTTCTTCCTGATGAGGGCCACGGCCGAGTAGTGGCCGGAGGCTTCGCCCGCCGCGCCCGCCTTGGTCAGGACGGCGAAAGGCTTCTCCAGCCGCACCACCTTCCCGTAGAGGATGTGGTGGCCGACCAGCAGCACCGGGGTGCCCTGCGGGGAAAGAGAGAGGGAGAGACCCTCTGGTGGGTGGGGAGGAGGGGCCCGGCCGGCCCCCCTCCGACCCCGGGCGAGGCTGCCAACCTCCAGGCGGGGCCGGGAGACCTCCCGGGGCGGGAAGGGAGGAGAGGGCCGCTCCGAAGGGCGGGCCCTGGGTGGGGCTCTGCCGGCCCCGGCTCACCTGGCGGGTGAAGTGGAGGTCCCCCAGCAGGCTCCCCGCCAGGCCGGCCCCGTCGCGGGCCTCCACCTCGCCCTGCAGCTCCAGCAGCAGCCACTCGCCCAGGCCTCCTCCGCCGCCGCCGCCCGCCCTGCAAGGCAGAAGGCGAAAGGTCACAGGCGAGGCGGGGGCCCGGGGCCCGCCCACGACGCCCCGGCCCTTCCGCCCGCTCACCGACACAGCCGCAGCTGCACCATGGCCGCCCTCGGACGAGCCCCGCGGCCGGACACGCGGTGACGGCCGAACTTCCCGCCGCCCCGCGGTCGCTTCCGCCCGCCCGCCCCGGAAGACCCGCCCCCCGGCTTCCGCTTCCGGGCCCGGCGGTGGCGCGCACGTGTGA